TAGTGCAGAAAATTTTAAAAATAAAAGAAAATTCAAATCGAGGATGTTGTTTGGAAGTTAAGTTATCGATTCCAAAAGAATTACATCCCAAATTTCGAGACTATCCAATGTGTCCAGAACGAAAGAATGTACCATATAATTGGTATAGTTCAAAACAAAAAGAATAGGTAGGTAAACAACGTTCAGATACAGAAAAACTTATACTAACTCTCCATGATAAGGACTATTATGTTATTCATTATAGAAATCTACAACAATGTATAAAAGAAGGATATGTTCTTGAAAAAGTATATCGAATTCTAGGTTTCGAACAATCACCATGGTTGGAACTATACATTGTAATGAATACTCAACGACGTGCAAAAGCAAAGAATGCCTTTAAAAAAGATTTCTGGAAATTAATGAATAACTTAGTATTTGGAAAAACTATGAAAGATGTAAAAAAACGAGTGAATATAGATTTAGTTAGACAGGTAGGTGAAGAACAGAGGTTACGAAGATTAATATCAGATCCAGTATTTGTTAGTAGGAAAATTTTCTATGGAGCAAATTTGGTAGCGGTACATCGAAGACAAACCAATGTAAAACTAAATAAGCCAGAATATGTTGGAGCATGTATTCTTGATCTTTCTAAATACTTTATGTATGACTTCTAGTACGGATATCTCAAAAAGAAATATAGAGATCAGGTAAGGCTTTTATATACTGATACAGATTCTTTAATTATAGAAATTGAAACCGAAAACATTTATCAGGACATGATTGATAATTGCGATTTATTTGATTTTAGTGATTATCCTGAAGACCATTGGGTGATAAAAAATCTTCTAGAAGATCAGTGGATAATTAATGATGAAGGTAAGCGTGTCTTAAAAAATACAAAAGTTATAGATAAGTGGAAGAACGAAAATGGAGGAGATTGTGTTATTGGCTATGCAGAAGTTCGTGCAAAATGTTATAGTGTTGTTTGTGAAAATTCATGAAAAAATATGATAAAGGCTAAAGGTTTAAAAAAGTCTCTTATCAAGAAAGAGCTTACCTATAAAATATTCGAGGACTGTATTTTAGAAGGAAAAGAGGATCAGCCACGAACTGCACAATTCTTCTGAAGTTACAAACATCGAATGTATAGAATAAAGCAAACAAAGAGGAGCATTAACCCATTAGATATGAAATTGTGGATAGCTCATGATATGGAAATAACATATTTATATGTGATTGTGAAATTCCGGAAGAATAAATATAGCTTTGCTTCATAATATTTTAATATATCTATCCACTATGTGACCACCTTTGACAATAATATATATAATTTTTTACTTATGCAATTATTAGCAAAAATATAAATAAGATCAAGCGATCCCTCACCATACTAAATAATTCATGAATGAACGGATCGCCAAATCCGAAATGAGATTTTATAAAATCTGCAAATTGGTTTGTTAATACGGAAATATATTATAAAACAGAATAAATAAATAATAAATTTCAAAGACTTATCTGGTTAAAGTTCGGGTAAATGTATTGATTTAGATATTATATCTGTTTATTTTTTAGCTATCAAATAATTCCGGGTAGTAAAAAAATAATATATAGTCAGGTAAGTATGAAATGATAAGAAAAATTTTCATCATTAACCAACTCATCATAACCTATACTATGAGTAACGAACCACTTAGCGAAGGAGAACTTACCAAAAAATACCCCAAACGAGCAGAATTATTAAAAGCCTTAGGAATAAATATCTTAAAAGGTCATCCAAACTCTCTCGCAAGTAATATCACAATACCGGAGCTAGAGAATTGTCATGAATGTAATGAAGAAATTTTGTTAAATCCACTCAAAGCATTTACCACGCTCGTGTGTGGTCATATACTCCATCATGACTGTCTTGAAAAAAGTAATAGAGATAAGCAAAAAACTTGTCCCATTTGTTTCGTAGATAATGAAGGAACGGCATCAGCTGAAGTTCAGGACGTAGATATGTCAGAGGCAGTGGAAGATGAAGGTGAAGAAACCTCTAATCTAACGGGGGCGGTAAGTAAGTTATCCGTAGATGGTGGTAAAGCTATCCCACGAAGTGAAACAAAATCCATGGAACCTGATAAAGTACAAGGTTTAATAAAAGAACTATCTATGCCAAGTGAGCCGATTGATGATAACGATAGAGGAAATAAGAGCAAAGAATCAAAACCAATAACTTTACTCCAGTTATACTATAATGCAAACCGGGCAGAAAAACGTGTAACTCATGCCTACCAAGAAGAAATAAGATGCTGGTATCTGTTTGCTAAAAAATTTGAAGAAAGAGTTAAAGAAATAAAAAATGATAACAGTAGGTACAATGATCAACAAGCTAGAGGGTTAGTATATGGCGAAGTCGCAACCAATCTTCCGGGATTTACAAGAGATAGTTTGCGTAAAAAAACTGCAAAGGCTAGAAATATCTACAAGTTGTTTGGAGAAAGTTATGACCCCGATACCAAAAAAATAGTTAAGGGGATAGGAATTGAAAAAATTGAGAGAATTCGAACATATAGTGCTGATTATATTTCAAAGCTCAATTCTACACAAATTTATAATATTATAAAGCATTTTAATTAGTGCAGATCGCGTCCCCCAAGTTGACGCCAACGTGATATAAATATTTTTTTATTAGTAAATCATATATACATATAATTACAGTATATAATTTAATTCATAATAAAGTTTATACATACCAATACTGCAATATTGTTAAATATAGCGATATGCATTCAATCAACATGTACGGATCTTGACCTAAGGTTTATGCATGTGAGGCGGGGCATAAACATTACAGGCTTGTATAATAAAAATTTTTAGCCACGTTCTGTTAATATACGTATAATAATAATGAAAAATCCGAATAACATGTATACAAATAAAAATTACTTTGAAAAGTGGCATATCTTTAGAGGATGGAAGCACGGGTGTAAGGTTTGTGATGAATGCAATCACCATTCACACCTATATTACAAAACATGCAAAAAAGTAGTGGATGGAATATATAGGCAATGCGAGTGTGAAAATTCTCGAATAGTATAAAAATAAGCGATTTGATAATAACAATAAATCAGATTGTGTAAAATTTTTGTCAAAGCCTTCTGTGTCAATCGATGTCACAATGAATGTATGAGTTAACCTAGTGCTCATCACAATATCACATGACTATCATTCGGGGGCGGGTTGGGGCGGGTTAGGGCTAGGTTAGGGCGTAGTTTAGGCCAATTTGTTTAATTTTGGTAAACAAATATGTTTATCATATGATCGTCGATCATTGGGTTAACTATTCTTAAAGTATTTTATTGTATGGTTATCGATGTATACTAGGATTTTCTTGGAAAAGTGATCATTAGCTTTTAATTGCTAGACAAAATGACACGTAAATTTATAGATTATAGCGTTAAAAAAGGTTGATCTTCTAGTGCTGAAAACAGTTCGAAAGACAAATATCAATGCACATAATTTTCTAGAAAAAAAGTCATTTAAAAATCATGATGTCCCAAAATATAAACCAAGCCAGCATTATTGTCATTGTTTGTTTCGGCAAAAGATTAATTTCTTTTTTTTGATTACAATTTTTTCACATTAGATTATGATATATTCATTCACTAAGGTCAAAGTATATACAGATCTACGCTTGATATCTCATTAAAATATTAAAGATGTTTTGCACAACCAAAGCATATAGTGGAATCGAATCCTTTTCTGCTTGTGCTAGAAATAAAGTAGATGTGTATTCTTCTCGTGGAATATCTTGGAAAACAACAGGCGGAAGCCCATTGCGGATGAGATATAATGCCATAATTAAACGTCCAACACGCCCATTACCATCTGCAAATGGATGAACATGAAGGAAGGTCGAAAGTATACGACTAGCGATTATGAGAGGATGAAGACCACTATTTTGGCTCTCGTCTCGAAATTGTATGAATCTTTCCATCAATGCGGGGACTTCTAGTGGAAGCTACAGGAAATATGAAGTAATTAATAATCAAATCTTAAATGAATCTCAAAATAATGTTAACAGAGCTTACTGGATAAACGGTGTATATCGAACCACGTGCTTCTACTTCTGTCTTTCGGAACTCACCTGCGCGTTGGAAATCCTCACCAAATTCAATTCTCTCCAGAGATGTGTCTTTTAACATAATGCGATGGACCGTCTTGATACCATCAAGGTCAATTTCGTGATCTAACTCATAAAAAGTATTATATAGAAAATAGGTTGCCAGTAGATGATTTCGAACTTCGATAACTTCATTTTCTGGTTTGTTGGAAAGAGAACTTGGTGCAGGTAACGGCGTGTCTATATTTTTTAGAAAGTCATTCAGGCTAAAATTCTTCTTCAGCGTGTTCCAAACTTTTTGTGTTTCTGCTAGTTCCAATGTATTTCCTTCTATGGCGCAACTATGCTGTGCAAAACTTACCGTCAGCCTTTTTAGAATGTCCACAGATGAAATTCTTGAGGAGGCTTTGAGGCCATCAATTGCTTTCAAAAAATCGGTATATTCGGCCTGAAAGTCTAAAGATTGATAAGAAGTTAGTATTTTCACACGAAAATTACAAGAAATAAGAAATCATACAGTAATCTTGTGCACGCCACTCAAATGGGCGAAAGTAGTCCTCCCAAACTTTCCCAGATTTAATAAGTTTGGACCATTCTTGTGTTCCTTCTTTATGGATTAAGAGGGGTGAGTAAACCTGCAAGAAAGCTAGGTTAAAACGATAATATTTTTCATGCAATAAATTCAGGACAGCAAATGAACCTTTTTTAACACGTCAAGTCTTTCTAATTACTTCGACTATAAGAGCAGACTTTTTCGAATGTTGATAATAAACGAGGTTGCACGCTCTTGTGACGGCCACAGTGAAAAGTAGATTTTATCAAAGGAGAAATAAGTGTTCTAGACATGGTTTTTTTTGAAAACAGTGTGACACCAGGGACACGGAAAAATATTGATATATATAGATCAATATAAGTCGATATTTTTAGGCCAAATCATGGGGAAATCGATATTTTTACAATTTTTTATGCAGTGTAACTACACCACTTCGGGCAAAATTTTTTACTGACCTCGGGTCAGCGAAATTTTTGGCGCCCCTAAAGGGCCTCGGATGATTCTTGATTTTGATCGGCTATGAGCGACGATCTCTTTATAGGACTAGTAACACCAGTTAAAAAAATTTCGCAGATCACGTGATCATATTAACGTAATAATTCTCTAATTAATTTTTAATCACTGAATCAATCAATATATCATAAGATATATAATATAAATTAATTTTTTTCGTGCATACTTTTTTTCTTATGTTCTTATTTTTTTGTACGTCAAAAATGAATACTGTTGACAGTAAAAAGAGCAAATGTGATCACTGCAGGCTTTGGTACACAGAAGAAAACTTTATCGGAAAGAATGACAAAATTGTCTTATCGTGTAACAAGTGCCGAACTTCGATCGGTAATAAAAATCGGATTAAGGCAAAGGAAAATAAAGATGAAGAAATAAAACAACGTCAAAGTATTGCTTGTACCCGAGATCAGCTTGTCGATTTCTTTTTGGATTCTTATGATGATTTCGACAATTCTGAACCATGCACTCAAGTGTTAGATATAAATGTTGCTGTACTTCTTAATTCTTTTATCGATCATGTTGAAGCAATTGACGAATATGAAAAAAATAAGCATATTGCCTATTAAATTACAAAACTTATTTCAAAGGCTGACGGATTTGCATATATTTACCATACATGTGATCATTTGAAAGATGGTTTTTTATTTGTCTTTTATTGTAATTGCAAGGTTGAAAGAAAAACTAAAAATACCTGAATTGATGATGTATCTAAACAACGAAACACTAAGCCCCAGTTGCCCCGATATGGTTGTGAGGGATTGATCCTTATTACAATAAAACAATCTCATGAGTTAGCTTATATTCGTGTTTATCACTTACCACACCCACGACCTCGATCAATTGCTGTCTCTTCTGAAATTAAAGAATACATTCAGTATAACAAACTTCTCACTATTCCTCAGATTTATCATAACATAAAAACTTTAGGTCTTGATGGGTATACTTATATTACATAGCAACAAATTTATTACTGGTGTAAACGATTAGGACTCAATGAATACAAAATGGCCAAGGATCAAATAGAATCAACAATCCAATACCTTTCAAACCAAACTATGTTCAAATTGATTATTTAGCAACCTATCATAATTGCGTTTTTACACCTTTATTTAATGCTTTTCCTAAAAAACGAATTAATATAATCGTTGTTGATGCTACATACAATACTAATCGATTGAAGTATGAGCTTTATGCAATTCTTGGAATTGTAGATGGAATGGGGTTCCCTTTAACTTATCTATTGTTAAAGCCTGGTCAAGAAGAAAAGCGTTCAAAGATCCTTTTAAATTGGTTCTGTTTAATCAGAGAACAAGGCATTCGTCATATTAAAACTTTTTTGAGTGATAAAGACTTCGCTCAAATTACTTCTGCTCAAATAATTTGGCCACATGCACGAGTTCAGCTATGCTACTGGCATGTCCTTCGCGCTATTAAAAAAAAGCTTTCTAGCACCGGAATTGTTCATTCAACATACAATGCACGTGAAGCACATACAATTTGTTCAGAAATTGATCCAACTTGGCAACCAGCATCAAGAAATCAAAATACACTTAATGAGTTATGTTTGAATAATGAAGTAAAAAAAAATATGGATAAGTATCAAATATTTTGCCAGAAAGATTTTCGCGAGCTTATAATTCAATTAATCCGAGTACATTTTTTTGTACACCCATTAATTTCCACTGAAACACAACAAAGATTGTATAATTTACAAGAGATTTGGAAAAACTGTGTTAAAGAGCAGCACAATTATTGTAAAGTTAATAATCTGCCTCATATTTATGGAATGAATGGTACCACCCAGAACGATAGAGATTATGGGCTTGTTCTGCAACGATGCATGTCAATTTTTTGCGGTCCTCTATGACAATTGAAAGCTATTGGAAAGTAATCAAGCATGATTATCTTTCCGAATATAATCGTATACGCTTGGACTTATTAGTATATATTATCGTAACACGAGTTATACTTGGACAAGTAGATCGGCTACAGCAGTTATGAGATGGTAGAGCTGTAGCACATTGGCGCTCTGATTTCAAAACAGAATGGTACCACCTTAAAAAACAAATTATTCATCCAAACTCTCAACGAATTACTGACATAAATCGGTGGATATGCTCATGCCTTAGTTTTTTATCTAGCAGATTTTTTATCTGCAAACATTTGGTACAAAAAATAGATCCGATTCCTCTTGGGTTCTTTAAAAAGGTAATATTTGCTCTGTTGATTTATTATATTTATTGACATATATAGTAATTATTATGACTACATATTATATTTTTTATAGGTTCATCGTCAGGAATTCTATCCTTTTTTACGATTTACTGAACAATACAATAATCTTTTTAAAGATCTACCCAAAAACCTTTTTATTTCACTTTTAAATAAACCAGCAGCCTTGAATACTACCTCTAAATTATTACTCCAAGACGATACACTAACCTAGGACAATATACTACTTCAAGATGATACACAAAACCAAAACAGTGCACTACTCCAAGAAGATATACTACTTCTTCAAAATGATATATTTCAAGACGATATAATGCTCCAAGATGATATATTATCTGAAGATGATGCATTAGCTCAAGCTTTTATAGTTGAAAATGAAGATGTAAAATCTAAAAAAGAGGAACTTTATTTATTACTAGACCGTGTCAAAGTTATTATTGATAAAAACACACAAATGCCAAATGCAAAACAGTGGATTGATTGTATTGATAAAAATTTTAATGCCCTGCGAAAAATGGTGGATGATTGTGAACAATTTGATAGAAAGCGAAATTTTCTAAATACTTGGGAGGGTCGTAATCACAATACATTCTGGATTTAAATTGTATTACAATAAAGATATATTATTAATGTCATAAGAGAATTAATTGTAAAGATAATTAATTATACATTTTCTTACCTTTATAAAAATTGTCAAATTTAAATATTTCAGTTTAAGTTGAAATCCCTGTTTAGGGTTATGGTTAGGGTAAAACGATTAAAAGTCTTTTTCCTATGCTTTAGTAAAATAAAAATGCTGTAGCAGAGGTGACAGCCGTAGCGGAAGCATAAACTATTCTTTGTGAAGCAAAAAATAAGTATACATTATCTGACAAACTCATATGATCATGAAAAACATTCTTTCTGTTATTTTTTTTTATGTGTTACGATGTAATTATGTTTTTCCAATATTCAAAAAAAAAACTTAGGGAGTCATTCGCTAAGTTTTTTTTTGAATATTGGAAAACATAATTACATCGTAACACATGAAAAAAAATAACAGAAAGAATGTTTTTCATGATCATATGCTCTGAACAAAGACTATGTAGTCTTATTTTTCTTTCACCTGAACAGCAGTGTCTTTGGGCAAGGTTTTATGAGTTTGTTGGATAATGGACAATGGCTTCTAAATATTATTGAACTATGTTTTAAACTGCGCCGTACTAATATCGGAAATCCCGTGATCATCATTTCACGTGATCTGCAAATTTTTTTGACTGGCATTTTAAGTGCTGTTGTGAATTTTCGTCATTTTTAATTCTGGCCAAAAATTTAAATTTGGCCCTGTGCTCCGCAGCAAATTTACTATGTTTACTTAGTATGTGAATTTTCGTCATTTTTAATTCTGGCCAAGAAATTTTGGCCGAAAATTTACTATTCATATTTTCTATAGTAAAATTGCCGTCAGACTAAAAATCGCGTTTTACATGAAATTTTACTAACAAAATTATTTTAGCGACATTAATGAAAGTTGTAGAACAGATAAAAAAAATATTAGTTTCATAAGACCACTTTAATTTCAGAAGAGACAGCAATTGATCGAGGTCGTGGATGTGGTAAGTGATGAACACGAATATAAGCTAACCCATGAGATTGTTTTATTGTAATAAGGATCGATCCCTCACAACCATATCGGGGCAACCAGGGCTCAGTGTTTCGTTGTTTAGATACATCATCAATTCGGGTATTTTTAGTTTTTCTTTCAACCTTGCAATTATAATAAAAGACAAATGAAAAACCATCTTTCAAATGATTACATGTATGGTAAATATATGCAAATCCGTCAGCCTTTGAAATAAGTTTTGTAATTTGATAGGCAATATACTTATTTTTTTCATATTCGTCAATTGCTTCAACATGATCGATAAAAGAATTAAGAAGTACGGCAACATTTATATCTAACACTTGAGTGCATGGTTCAGAATTGTCGAAATCATCATAAGAATCTAAAGAATCCAAAAAGAAATCGACAAGCTGATCTTGGGTACAAGCAATACTTTGACGTTGTTTTATTTCTTTATCTTTATTTTACTTTGCCATAATCTGATTTTTATTACCGATCGAAGTTCGGCACTTGTTACATGATAAGACAATTTTGTCATTCTTTCTGATAAAGTTTTCTTCTGTGTACCAAAGCCTGCAGCAATCACATTTGCTCTTTTTACTGTCAACAGTATTCATTTTTGACGTACAAAAAAATAAGCAGGAAAGAGAACATAAGAAAAAAAGTATGCACGAAAAAAATTAATTTATATTATATATCTTATAATATATTGATTGATTCAGTGATTAAAAATTAATTAGAGAATTATTACGTTAATATGATCACGTGATCTGCGAAAATTTTTTAACTGGTGTTACTAGTCCTATATTCAATTGCACAATCAGCTTCAATATTGGTCTCCTTAACCTATCCATAGAATTTAATGTCAGTATTTATTAGTAAAATTATCCATAGAATTTAGTGTTAGTATTTATTAGTAAAATACAAGTCAAATTAGATACTTGCCTGTTCAATTGTAGTCAAAGTTCCTTGGTATAACAAT